TAGTAGCCATCAACAATGAAGCTGCAAAATAATGGAATGATGGTTAAAATAATTTGGTCACAGCATGCTTTTTTTTGGCCTTTTAAGGAAGGCCAATTTTCTTCCTCTTTCTTCTAATTATGTGTTGTCCATTATTTTTGAATGTGCTCCTTCTTTACTACACTTGTCCTACATTATAAATTCCCAATTCTCTTTTGTTGTATTTACTGTCAAAAAACAAACTTCCTCATGATTTTTATTTCGTGAAATTTTCAGCTTTAATTGCTGTTTGTAGCCTTTCTTATAAAACTTGGTTATATATTTGTGAGATATGGTGTTTTATGTTCTCATGAACTAGTTCTATGCCTACCCCAGCTCCCAGGCAAAGAACCTTAACAATCCATGAGTGGGAGGTATCTTTTTTGTTTTGTTAAACCTACTGCTTTTGCATCGTTAGCAGTTATTCCTAGTTCCATCTCTGTATGAGTGGAAGGTATCCTACACTATTTCTATTGTAAAGATGGAACAAAATGACTTTTGCAGCTGGGCCAGCCAGGATGACACAATTATGATTTAGGACCAAAAACTAAAGGCTAGGAAGGGGTGGGATGTAAATCAAGCCCTTTTCTGTTTTTTAGCAACTTTATTATTATGTAGTTAAATGATCTGAACATCACCCCAAACTAATTTTGTAAGTGAACATAGATTGCCTCTTAGCTCTTTTGGGAATGCCTAGCAATATTAATAATTTGTTTGCTAAGCTGAAATGCTATAGTTGTAGTCCTATTGTGACAATTTATTTTTGTTCTCCAGCTCGACCTTCAACCACTGGCTGAGAGGATTGAGCATTTGAGTCCTTCTGTAGATATTTTCGGTGCTGTAGCTGAAAATGCTGTCCAGCTATCTGGCTTGGGAAGCCTTTCTAATGATCTTCTGGAAGAGTTATGCCACAATGAGAGTCTTGCCAGGGTAAGTAGTCCTTTATGTTGTGTTCTTTGAGAGCTGAAAGTTGTTTGTTGCACTGCCTAAATATACAAATAATTTAATAAAAAATAAAAAAAAATTAAAACCAAACAAAAAAAAAAAATGTTCGTTGTGCAGGAATATGTAGATATGTTGCGATATGATGTAAGTAAGCTGCTCGAGGGACGGTCTGAAGCGGACAAATCCTAACTATAGTGTATGAATACACATTTTCTGCTCCCATTGCTTCTATTGTATCACAACTCTTGACCTTCCCGAAACTTCTAGAAAATGAGTTATGGCGTGTAGTGTCCTAAATAATTGATTAATCCTTAATTGATCTGGATCATTTTGACGGACTTCCAGATCATGTGTGAAAATTAACTTACACCACATGACAGACGGGTGTTTTAAATGTAGCGTTGAGAAGTTGACTATTTTTTCCCACACCTCACTAATTCTTCTCCCGCTTCCTGTTCATTCTGTAATGGAGATTCCGGAATCCGGAATGTAAGAATAAGAAAAGCACGTTTCATATGAGAATGGGAATGGGAGAAAAAGTGAGGTGGAGGAAATCGAAATCTGTTTAATGGCTTCCACTGCCGCGTTTTGTCTTTTCAGACTTACCCACTTTTGGGCTTAATTCAGACAGTGGATGTTTCATCAAATAGTCTTGTACTGCTAGCGCTACCATAAATGGCTGAATCTCGTTGCATTACAACTGCGTTTATCTAGGATTGAAGTATATTTTATAGACCGAGGACTATTAGAAAAATATTCACCACTTCTGCCATGTACTAAACTCATGAGTTTTGGTATGTAAGATTATTTATTACTATTATTTCAAAATGATATATCAATGTTACACATAGTTATACTCTTTACATTTCAAATATATATTTTTCTTCCGTCATTTAATCTTGAACAAGGTTTTTCATTCACTTTTCTTTTGATCATGTGAAACAGTGAAGGAAATAAATTAGATAAATTGATAAAAATGATTATCTTTTATCTTTGGATAATAATGCATTTTCTATTGAAGTTTGTACTTATATAATAGAAATACAACAATCGTTACAAATTGTGTTTTGTGAATCGCATTTCCCTTGTTCCTTGCATTGCATGCTTCGAGTTTGACTTGTTCTGGATATAAAAGAAAAAATGCAGAGCGGTGAGTGAACAATACTAAACTACGATTACAAATTAGAACTTAAGATCATCAAATTTCAGGATGATTCTTCAATTCTTAGATATATTCTTAATATTTAAAAGCAGGAGGAGAATTAGTTAAATCACAATTTGTAACAGTTTTCACTTGTTTCCAAGCAATGAAATAAGAATAATGATTAATTCATCCAACAACAAAGACAAACTAATTCACAAACAAATTGATTAAAAGCATAGATAAATATTCAAGAAGTAAAAGTACATATAATTAGAATTGATTACATCTAACTTGGATACAAAAGAATTTAACTACTTAGAATATTGTAATACAATTCCAACAACATTTAAACATAAGCTTTACAATGAAAGCATATCTTTTTAGCCTTATAAACTCATCCGTATACTACTATTACATATTTGATCCTCCACTCAATGTTTAAAATGAGGACATGAAGTCGTATTTGTAAACTATCTAGGATTTTAACTCCAACTTTGGCACTTCAACTATAGAGGTTTTATTCAAGATATTTTCAAGTTGTTTGTCTTAAGGCTTAAGCCACACACTTTAGGCTCAAGTTTAAAAGTTACATTTTAGGTTTTTTTAAAGGTGGGTGCTTAAGGTTTCTTTCTCATGGGGGTTTGCTCTGGCAGCCCCTGAGATTACTTCTTTGGGAAGGAGTCTTCATGGCTTAGTCTCAGGTTTAGTGCTCGAGGTTTCCTTTCACAATGAGTGTGTGGTTCAAGACCCAACTCTACTGCTCAAGTGTACCAATGTTAGTTCTATTAAAAATTGCTTGAATTTAATCTATTTTCTTTATATTTCCACTTTGACTTTTTGTTGATAACAAGATATGCAAAACAAACTAAATAGGAGTGAATTAAACATAATCTAAACAAAATCAAAACAAGATAAGTGTCAAAATTATCTTAAAATTCACTTAAATCAGGTATTTATCATATCCTACTTTGGTTGAAAAGTTTCAATTTGGTCCTCGCTGAATTTTTTTGTTTCAATTGCATCTCAATATTTACCAAATTGACTCAATCAAATCCTTTTAAAATAAACGACATTAAAGATATGTCACATGTCAATATGTGCTTTTTTTCTATTTTTTTAATCTTTTTTACAGAATTTATTGTTTTCACGTATCAAGTCCCATGGTGTGACATGTGACACTGTTAATGTAATGTGATAGGACAGTGTTACATGTCATTGTCTTATATTCAATTTAGTTCATGTCTATTCAATTTAGGCAATTTTTTTTTTTCAAAATGAAACAATGTTGTCGTGTTTTAATTGAACCAAATTTATTATTTGTATCAATGTTATATTGATATTTATATTAAAATTATTATTTGTATAAATGTTATTAATTAAATTTAATCTTATAAAAAACATAGATTAATAATATATTAGTTTTAAATACTTACTCTTTTTGTAAAAGTATTACAAAAATATTTATACTTAATTATAATCTTATAAAAAACCATGAACTAACAAAACATTGATTAATAATATAGAATGATATAATATGTTAAAACATCGATTTTAATAAAAATATAATATTGGTATTAATAAAAGTTATGTATTGACAAGTGAGTGCCGTAAATGCTGTTTGTATTTTTTATTTATGAAAAGAAAAACTTAATTGAGTGAATTTTGAGAAAATTGAACCGTAATAGAAATGAAAATCTGAGTGGAGACCAGCTTAAAATTTTTCAACCAAAAAGAAGATGACTCTAGTAATTAAATCTTTGTTTTATAAGTTTTGTATAGGTTAGAAAAGGGGTTGTTTTCCGTGAAGATTAATATTGTGTTTTTGGTACGTAGTGTATGTACAAGTAGTGGGGATGGAAAAGGAAAAGTGAGGTAGGTGTGAATAACTTGCAGTGCTATAGTTGGCATGTGAGTGAGCCTTCACTGCACTGTACAGTACCTTATTTTTGCAGTACATGACCTACTCACTATAGACAGATTGAGCTATTCTTATTTCCTCACTATACTGTATTACTTGGCTCACACAAACCAGACATGTGCATTCAAAACTCACCCCACAGACAAAAGGATAAGAAATCAAAATCTTCTCTCTCTTTTTCTTTGTCTTTACCTCTGTCTTTACCATGGAAGAACGAAAGAAATCAAAATAGCCTTATTATTCCATGCTTAACTTATCTACTTTTACTCTTTTCACTTATTTTCACAGAATCAGAAGGGCTGTTTTCGTTTATTATTTTGACACTCTTGAAAATTGCAACTCATGTGAACCGAAAGAGGAAGGAAAATGGGTAGTGAGTAGTGGCTAGTAATTTAAGTTAGCTTAAGATCTGGCAACACATTAGGTAGAAGATTCCAAGAACAGAATAATGGAGGAAATAAGTGTGTATTTGACTTTGAGGGGTGAACACATGCAATTTTTTTAGAATGAGATAGGGTAAAAAGGTTGATTGGTGAAAGGAGATTTCAGCATGTTTTGGGAAGTAGCTAATGCGAAAAGTACATGTTTTTTGTCATTGAAAAATTACGTATAAAATTGTTGACACGTGAAGTTGTGTGTTGGAAGTGAAAACAAAAGCAATTACTGGTAGGCAGAATGAGGAGGCCCATGTGGGCTGTGTTGAGTTGGGTTACACTACACAACAACAACACATGATTCAAATATTCAGCGCATCCTAGGACCCGCCACCGACACCCATTTCGCCATTTCCAGAAACGCTTCATGCATTTCAACAATCTTTCCTCTTTTTTCGACTCAATGCAACACTTTTAAATACACTTAAAACTATTGTCTGATATAAATCAAGTGAAGTTTTCCCTGTAGGTTAATATTTTTTAATTGCTATAAGAAAGAATAATATTAGCGTGGGCAGCCAACTTTTCCTCTATCTTTTGATTTTACCCTTTACGGCTATAATGATTTGAGAGAAGCCGTGTTTCTTCTCTCTCTGTCCCGCACTTCAGTTTAAATGTGAATCCATCCCTGCTCACTCCATTCCTCTCTCTCTCTCTCTCTCTCTCTCTCTCTCTCTCTCTCTCGTGTTGAAGATGTCGCTCAACATGGCGGTTCTGCTGTGTTTTTCTCTCTTTGCCATGGCTGCTGTGGCTGAAGATCCCTACAGGTTCTTCAGCTGGAATGTTACCTACGGAGACATTTATCCACTTGGTGTTCGTCAACAGGTTCTTCTCTCTTCCCGTGCTTCCTATACTTGTCTTCTGTTGGAGGATCTCATTCGTATCACGCATACTCATACAGGGAATACTTATCAACGGTCAATTCCCAGGTCCAGACATTCATTCTGTTACCAACGACAACCTCATCATCAATGTCTTCAACAGCTTGGACCGACCCTTCCTCCTATCCTGGTAATAATCCATACTTGTTATGTTTTTCTTCCATTGGATGGAACTTTGTCGAATCACATGAACTCCAAAAATACTTCCACAAATCTCACTTTCTCTTCTACCTCAGGGAATGCCTCAACGCACCCATCCAGATCTCCTCTCTATTTATAAAAATATCACAATCAAACAAGTTACTGTTTATGCTTCTCAATACATATATTCAATTCCATTAAGCTAACTCTTCAACGCTTTGATACCACATTTTGGATAAAATAAACATACATATAGCTATATAATGTTATCACTAATTGCATTTTTTGATGAAACCTCATATTATATGTTAAATTGAAATTATTTAATTTAACATTTGTGAAGTCCTTTTATATTATATATAAAGACTTTATAAAAAAAATTTAGACTTTGAATTTATATTAGCTTACTGGTTTATCATATATACACAGTTACCAAGATGAACTTTTAGATACACACGAAATTCATTTTCGTATCCTGAATCTCAATAATCTAAATTGTTAAATTAGAAATTCCAATTAATTAAATCAAGTCAATGTAAACGTTTTAGAAAAACTGAATTTATTTAATTTGAATTATACACTGAATTTTTTGAAACATAAGTAAACATGACCTAAGAAATTACTTGACTGGAACGTTACAATTTGATAGGTATGATTCCTAAGATAGTGTCAAAATAATTAAGTTATAAAAAGTTAAATCCATACAAATCACAGTGAAGAAGACGAAACAGTGTGTGATTATGAGTTTGATTTTCTGTAATTGCTTAGCTAAGAAGTCAATAATTTATATTGTGGGCCCATTTACTTTATCTATGCTTGGCTGTTCTGGGCTGGAGATTGCGATGGAATGGATTATCACTTGATTTTTCTTTTTGGCACTCAAAAGAGATTACTTTTTGAAATAACATCACCTCCTCCAACTAATGAATTCAATAACAAGCATTAAATCGCTGCTTCCCAAGTAAAGTAATGTAATGAAAGAAGCGTTATATCTGGCATGGTTGAAGAATGAAAAGAAAAGAAGGATAGATATATCTAATAATGGTAGTTGAATGGAAAACACAGGAACGGGGTGCAGCAGAGGAGGAACTCTTTCGAAGACGGGGTTTCGGGAACAACGTGTCCCATTCCTCCAGGAGGGAACTTCACATACATACTTCAGGTGAAGGATCAGATTGGAAGCTTCTACTATTTCCCATCTCTTGCATTCCACAAAGCTGCCGGTGGATTTGGAGGTATTAGGATTTTGAGCAGACCCAGAATTCCGGTCCCTTTCGACGATCCCGCCGGTGATTACACTGTCCTCATCGGAGATTGGTACAAATTCAACCACACGGTAATATCACTAACACCACTTTTCTCTCCTCTCTCTCTCTATGCCCTCCACATGCTTGCAATAATATTCCACAACTAATCTCATCACTACCTGTCAATTCTCACTTACCTGTCTAAGTGCGCCTCATTTCAGATCCCAACTAACTTTCTCCATGCATTACTCACTCACTCATCTTACTCTTATCCACCATTTTCTCCATCTTACTATTATTGGCTGGTAGTTGGCTGCTAGCTGCCAAATGTCGTTGGAAGGGAATTAGCCGCTAAAAAATAAAAAGACACTTCTTTCTAACATTTGTGTCTCTTAAGCAAATAAACTTATTGGGTAGAATAAAAAAAGTGTTTTTCAGTTGTTGTTTGAAATATTTGAAATAAGAATGCTGTTTGAAATCAACTTGTGTTTTTTATTTTTTCACAGGATTTGCAGGCTATTCTTGATAGAGGTAGCAGGCTGCCTTTCCCTGATGGAATCCTCATCAATGGTCGTGGCTCTAACGGAGCATCTTTCAATGTGGAACAAGGTATGCATGCCTAAATAAAATCACTTAAAATCCAACAACCTTCTCCTGCAACTTGTTAAATACGATTCATATAAATATGTGTCCAGCTAGGCTCATCCCGTGTCCACATTACGTGAGCTCTTTTGTCTTATTCACCATTAAGATCATGGTTGTTTCCACTATTGAAGGAAAAACAAAGTTGTACATAATCTAACCTAACCTAAGCTAGAGTAAATTGTGAGAGAAATAAATAGCGTAAGTTTCGGGGCACACGCAGGAAAGACGTACAGGCTGAGAATATCAAATGTGGGGTTGGAAAATTCCCTGAATTTCCGCATACAGAACCACAATTTAAAGCTGGTAGAAGTGGAAGGAACGCACACGGTTCAAACAACCTACTCATCTCTTGACGTGCACGTGGGCCAGTCTTACTCTGTTCTGGTCACTGCGGATCAACCTGCTAAGGACTATTACATCGTGGTCTCTTCTCGATTTACATCTACAGTCCTCACCTCCACTGCCATTCTTCGCTACAGCAACTCCGCAGGCCCAGTATCCGGCCCACCCCCTGGTGGACCTACCATTCAGATTGATTGGTCTCTCAACCAGGCCCGCTCCATCAGGTATCTTCTTTTTTTTGTCAAAATTCGTTACTTTTGTGTATGCGCTATGACGTGAAGCTGAGGAATTTAAATGGTTGTTTCAGGACGAACCTGACAGCAAGTGGACCAAGGCCGAACCCGCAAGGGTCGTACCACTACGGTCTGATAAACACGACGAGGACCATCATACTGTCTGGTTCAGCTGGTATAGTGAATGGCAAACAGAGATACGGAATCAACAGCGTGTCTTACGTTGCTCCGGACACTCCTCTGAAGCTCGCAGACTACTTCAAAATCCAAGGTGTTTTCCGTGTCGGAAGCATTTCTGACAGGCCCACTGGAGGTGGCATTTACCTTGACACATCTGTTTTGCAAACCGACTACAGAGCATTTGTGGAGATTGTCCTCCAAAACGACGAAGACGTCATTCAGAGCTACCATCTCGATGGCTACTCTTTCTTTGTGGTTGGGTGAGTCATCATCGCTCATCAACCATTATTCATTCATATTCTTGGTCAACTTAACCACTGGATTTTATCTCTTTACTTTTATTTAAGTCGTGAAACGTTTGTACTGTGTGTATGCGTAGTATGGACGGAGGACAGTGGACGACTGCTAGCAGGAACGAGTACAATCTTCGAGATGCAGTTTCGCGGAGCACCACTCAGGTTCGAATAATAAGCATTCTTTCTCAACAATAGAGTATTTACCGATCAAAATATTTGATAATGTGGTTATTGGTGAATGCAGGTATATCCCAAGTCATGGACTGCTATCTATATTGCGCTTGACAATGTGGGAATGTGGAACTTGAGATCTGAATTTTGGGCACGGCAATACCTTGGCCAACAGTTTTACATGCGCGTTTATACAACATCAACCTCAATCAGAGATGAATATCCTGTTCCAAAGAATGCACTGCTGTGTGGTAGAGCAAGTGGGAGACACACTCGACCCCTCTGAGCTGCCAATATCAAAAGCAGTTTACTTTTCTCCTTCTCATTTTTCAATTTATTTGTTTCGGTAATTTATGCTATTATTGATGGTATGATTACGACGGACATGTTTGATTTGAGCCACAGGTGACCCCAGCTCGAGGTCGCGTTAATTCTTTTCCAGAAAAAAAAAACAATATTTTATTCTATTGTAATTTTCCGAAATTTACTGTTTTTATTGCATATTAATGTTGGTGGCAAGTGTAATTCATTCAGCATCGGTAGTTTTCTTCTGTAATTGAAAATAGTGAGCACTTGTATTCCTTTACCTTTTACCTTTTACCTTTTACCTTTTACGTGTCCAAACACACAATTTTAATATTAACCGTTCAAACCAAGTCATTAGCTATCGATACCGTGGCATAGAAGTAACGTATGGACGGATGATATATTTATCATTGTGAAAATTAAGCATTTTCTGAAACTAAATTAGCATAAGTAGCCACTGATTACAAAGGCAATATTGATAGATAGTGGCAGAAATTACACTCAATCAAGAAATTATTTAATTAATTTAAATGTTTAAAATACAATATATATATATATA